TCCCCAGTGTGAGAGACACAGACATTTACATACATGTGTGTGCACACATGTAGATGTACATGCTTATTTCTACGCACACATACACAGATACAGACACACACTCAAATATATACATACACATTACATACACACACATCTATCTGCATATATAGATATATACACAGTTATATGCACACATGCACACAGCTGTAGATACACACAGGTATACACGCCTATTGTCTACACACATAGATGTATACACACACAATTATACATACACATGCATGCTTCTGCGTATACACACATACACACAGAGGTGCATGTACACACAGATACACACAGATTTTCTATACACACATATGCATGCATGTGTATATATACATACGTACATGTATGCACACGTGCCTGTACACCCATATATACACAGGCACACACACACAGATATATTGGGCTGTCAGAAAAGTCATGATGTATTTTCGAGTAGGAAAAATACAGAAAAAAGGCACCTCACTTTTCTGACAACCCAGTGCACACGCATGTATACACACAGATTATATATACACACATACACACATTATATATGTACACATAAATATACACACACACGCACATAAATGTATACACACACATGCACATATCTATACCCACCCGCGTGTGAGTTCAGCGGCACAGCCATGACGCCAACTGCCGGTCCCAAGTTAGAACAGCCTTTTGCCTTTCTGCCACTTGCTGCTGCTGTTTTTCTTTCCTTTTAAGTGCAGTGAAATTGTTAGTCCCCCTAAAATGAACGCAGATTTAGAATTTCGCACCATGACATTTGGCTATGACTGTGCCTCAGTTGACAGCTATCCCTTCCCCTGCCAGCAGAACAAATAACATTGAAGTCAGCGCTTTCATAGATCCCTTTGAACCCGCTCTTTTTTGAGTGTGTGTGGTTCTTTGTTTTCTTCCTCTTTCTTTCTAATTCTATTTTAAAATTGTCAGAGGAGCATGTGCTCACTATAGGAAAACAGGAAGAGCAAAATAAACACAATGTCTCCATGGGCTGTGGACATACTGCAATCCCTTCTCCTCCATTGCTGCATCCTGTTGGAATCTTGGACACGCACATACATGCGCCCAGCATGTTTTTCAGGTCAGCATGGCTGGAAGTTAAACTACCATCATCCCCGTGGGATCTGACTTCTTTAACCACTAGGCTACATGGATGGTCCTCGTTTTGTTTTAATCATTAATCATATAAACTTGACTCCTTAACCTTGGTGTTATTTAGTGGATGGAATTCATCTGAAACAAATTGTGATGCGTTTTTCCGTCATTGCAAGGAAAGAGGGTCTGGCTGTCGGGGCCCAGCGGTACTGCAAAACTCACCCGTGTTGGCACAGGCTGGGCACATGTGTGCCATGATCCTGGCTGACTGGGGAGACATGAAGGGATGGTCACAAGTGTGAGACCCCCTTAGGGTTGTTGTCATTCTTTCTCTTTCTCTCTGTCTCTCTTCCTCCCTGTTTCATGAGATAAATAAATAAATAAACTTTTCTAAAAAGGTCAAAGTCGTGCTCTGTACTGTCTCTATTCCTTCATGAAGGTCGTCCTCCCCATCTGTTTTGGTGTTGCTGATGGAGATATTTGAGACAGAGATTTCTAAAGAAATGGGGGTTTATCCGGTCTACCACGTCTGGGAGCGAGAGTGTGTGAAGGTGTGGGCCTGGCGTCAGGGGGGCCTACAGCAGCCAATGATGGACAGAGGCATGTGGGTGCATGCACAGAGAGAGCAAGTCCTGGGCAGTTCTGTTGTATGACGGTCACTCTGTGCCGTGAGAACCAGAACTCACCGGGCCTCAGGAGACATCATCAGGCTAGCCACAATGTGTTTCCCGCAGGGTGCAGGCATTCTCATCTGATCCCCCAGCTCCCAGCACCAAACTTCAACACAGGAAAACATGAGACTTGGGGGACAAACCACCATCCAAACCATAACAGTCTTTGTTTTGTTTTGTTTTTAGTGGTTTTTGCCTTAGGGCATGTGCCCTCATGTAGACAAAAACAGAGACAGTGAGAGGGAAAGTGAGAAATCACCCCCCCTGGGGGGATGGCCATGCCACAATCCCTTCTCCTCCATTCTCCTCCTGGGATCTTGGGCATGCAAGCACACACACCCAGTGTGAGTTTAAGCCACCGGGTCCAGGACTCGAACCATGGTCAGCCATGCGGGAGTCAGCAACATAACTGTACTCCACCTGCTGGCCCGTGTCACGGTCTTTTAACTGCAGATGGAGCGATGTTACTAATACGGACATTTCTGTGAGCTGGAAACGAATGCCCACGGGTTGTGTGAATTTGCGTGGGTTCCTCTCATGTCGACAGTGTGTTGTTTGCATGTTCATGTGTAACAGCACGGTAGGGAGATAAATGTGTCTTCTCCGTGACTTGGTCACGCGTGTTGAGTTCCATAGACTGGTGCCATACATTGGAAGAGACAGAGCTGAGAACATTTGGGGGGATTATCGTATTTGCATGGAGACAGATTTCACCATCATGAAACTTGACATTTAGAAATTAAAAAAAAAAAAAGACTGCAAACAAACAAACAAAACAAAACATGCAGAAGATATGGGCCAGCAGGTGGTGTGGAGTTTAAGGCGCCTGGACCCCACATGCCCAACTCTGTCATGGTTTGAGTCCTGAGCCCAGCGGATTGAAAATCATGCCAGGTATGTGTTTATGTGTGCCCAAAATCCCAAGAGGAGAATGGAGGAGAAGGGATTGTCGTGTGGCCACCGTCCACCCCTATGGGGTGATGATTTCTCACTTTCTCTCTCACTGGCTCTGTCTCTCTCTCTGGCGAGGGCATGCACCACACGGCAAAAACAAAACAAAGCAAAACGAAACAGAAGCAGCAGCAAGCCAGACTGCAGAAGCACCTCCTCAGCTCTCATCCCTAAGGGCCTGGACAGTCCGTAGGGACCTTGATCTGTCCACTTCATTCTGGGAGGGGTAGGCAGGAACACGGGGAGTTGGAATTCAGCCCAGGAATGATGACCGCGCTGGTCGGAAGAACGGTACTAATCGTCTGCTGGGATTCGCTAGTTTTTCAGGTGGCTGTAGGGCGCACGTGCGCATCAGAGAGAGACAGAGAGAGGGAAAGTGAGAAATCAAACCTACTCCCCAGGGACACAGTAATGCCATAGTCCCTTCTCCTTCACTCTCCTCCTGGGGTTTTGGGCACACACGTACGTGCGCCTGGTGTGGTTTTCAAGCGCCTGGGTCTGGGACTCAAACTGAGGTTGACCATGTGGGAATCCAGTGCCTTAACCTCCATTCCACTTGATGGCCTAGGATTCTCTATGTTCTTTCTTTCTTTCTCTTTCTTTCTTTCTTTCCTTCTCTTTCTTTCTTTCTTTCCTCTCTCTCTCTCTCTTTCTTTCTTTCTTTCTTTCTTTCTTTCTTTCTTTCTTTCTCTCTCTCTCTCTCTCTTTCTTTCTTTCTTTCTTTCTTTCTTTCTTTCTTTCTTTCTTTCTTTCTTTCTTTCTTTCTTTCTTTTTCTTTTTTAATTATGGTTTTGCTCTGTGCACTGACCAAGAAGAGAGAGAGAGAGAGAGAGAGAGAGAGAGAGAGAGAGAGGAAGGGAAAGCAACCCCTCCACCCCCACCCCAGGGAAGATGGCCATGCCACAATCCCTTCTCCTCCATTCTCTTCCTGGGATTTTGGGCAGGCCCAGCATCATTTTCAAGCCGGGTCCGGGACTCAGACCGTGGTTGGCCATATGCGATCCAACTCCCTTAACCTCCATCCATCTCCTGGCCCAAGGATTCTCTGTTTCTCATGGGTGTGGAGGCTAGGTAGAGAGAAGCACCTTGTTTTCATAGATGCATGCATCTTTATTCATTTGAGAGATTTTTGCTATAGGGTGTGGATACTCCCCAGAGAGACAGAGACAGAGAAACCAGGAAATCACCTTCCCGTCCAGGGGAGATGGACATGCCACAATCTGTTCCCCTCCAGGCTCCTTGCAGGATTTTGGGCATGTACACACAAGCTCCAGGCATGAGTTTCAAGTCACCAGGTTCAGGAGTTGAACCGTGGTCAGCCATGTGGGAGTGCAGTACCTTAAACAGTACGCCACCTGCTGGTCCCATCGTATCTTTATTAATATAAAGAGCTCCTTCGCATGTGCCCTTGAGTACCGAGGGAGAAGAAAGTGCCAATAGAGGAAAAGAGAACCGCAAGGACTCCCCCGATGAAGGTCCTACCCCCTGTACCAGGCATGGAAAAGTCCCAATGGAAAACCTCTCTCTGTGAGGGCTGGGATGTTCCTCTGACCCGGGGTCAAAGTCCTGGCGAATTTGGGAACCTCTGCAAAGTGGTAACTTCAGTCTCACGAGTGCCTGAGTGTGTTCTGTGCCCTTTGGAGGGGAGCGTTCCTTGTACTGAGCCAGTGGGTGCTTTGTTCTTTGTTACAGCGGAACAAGGCGACATGAACATGGAGAACCATCGCGGCACCAACGCAGAGCCAGCCGGTAAGAAGGGACGAGGGCGTCCGCTCACGGGGCTGGCGTTTCTGATTCTTCCTACCCACTGTCCACTCTGCTGTCCTGCCCACATTCCCAAGTTCAATTTGATGCCATTGGATGTCTGCATTGGTGTTTTCTTGCTGTTGATGGGATTTGTTCAGAAGAAGGTGTTTAATCTCCCTAAGCTTGAGGATTTAGAGAAGATCTAAATATACTCAGGTCACCCTATTTTTCTCCCTAGTAAGGTGCATGTGCTTGCCATAAAGACAGAGAGAGAGAGAGAGTGAGAAATCACCCCTCAGGAAGATGGGCACCACGCAATCCATTCTTCTCCATTCTCCTGAGATTTGGGGCATGCACGCACATGCGTTTGGCATGCTGAGTCCAGGACTCAAGGTGTGTAGTCAGCCATGTGGAATCCAGCTGGCTGCCTTAACCACCATGGCACCGGCTCGCCCAGGTTTTTGAGACATTTATGTGCAGGATAAACTCATACCTCCATTCTAATCCCCCAGAGCTGTCTTCAAGTCCCCTCTTGGACCTGCGTTGCTGGGTTTTGTTTATGTGTACGTGGAAGCCTGCGTGTTTGCCCTAAAGAAGAAATGTCTATTGAATGAGACAGCAAGAGACTCGAGAGGAACTTGTAATGAAATTTAAATGTGTATTCTGAATGCCTCAAATAGAGACTTTTAGGAAGTGAATGTCTAGGGCAACCCGTGGCATAGGGGTTAAGACAGCTAGATCCCATATAGCTGACTGCATGGTGTAAATCTCGAACCCAGCAGCCGGCAGGCATGGTGGTTAAGGTGCTGAAGTCTCACATGGCTGACTGCAGTTCGAATCCTGGACCTGGCCACTTGCTCTCTGTCTCTGTCTCTTCCTGATGAGCACAGCTTCCCTATAGCCAAGTGTAAGAAATAATAAATACATAAAATTAAATAGAAAATTCTTTTTAAAAAAATGAGAAATCTTGGACCTGGAGACTTGAGTAACATGCCTGGTACATGTGTGTGCGTGACCGGAGTCTCAAAAGAAGGGAGAAGTGGAGGAGAAGGGACTACGGTGTGCGCATCCTCCCCGGAGGAAGATGCTTTCTCACTTTCTCTCTCTCTCTCTCTCTCTCCAGAGAGTGCACCCTCCCCCTGGCAAAATTTAGGTTAAAAAAAAAAAAGAAAGAAAGTTAATGTGTAGCTTACTGCTCTTTTGAATCAAGGGAGGACATTTACATGAGCTATTAGCGTGGAGCCCGAAGGTAGATGTCTCTTGCCCAATATGTTCTTGGGGTTTTCCAGCTTTCACAGACGACAGCGGTCGACATGTGAGACTCTGTTTCTACAGAACGCTTGCTTCCTCTGTCTCTGCCAGGCTATCTCATTATTAATAATATTGTCATTGTCACCTTGCCAGAGGGGTGTGCTCTCACGGAGGTGAAGTGACAGAGAGGGAAAGTGAGAAGTCCGTGCGTGGGAAAAGGTCACGGCGCAATCTCCTCTCCTCGACTCTCCCTCCCGTAGGGATCTTGGGCATGCACATCCACAGGTCTGGCATGTTTCTCAGGCTGCCATGTCCAGGGCTCTAACCGCATGGTTGGCCACGTGGGGTCCAGCCACCTTAGCTACCATATTCCCATCTGGACCTGTCAGCCTATTTTAAAAGCAAATGCCATTGCTCTTAATTCTGTTGCCCAAATGACACCTCGTCACTCCAAAATAGTGTTAAGAATGTCATGCTGAATACAGTCTTAAAACCTACATGCCGGGACCAGCAGGTGGCATGGTGGTTCAGGCGCTGGACTCCCACATGGACGACTGCAATTTGAGCCCCAGACCTGGCAACTTGCTTTCTCACTTTCCCTGTCTTTCTGTCTCTTTTTGGTCAAATAATAATAATAGTAAATATAATTAAATAAATATATATTTTTAAAAAACCTTCAGCAAGCAGGTTGTATGGTGGTCAGGGCAGTGGATCTCCCATGGCCAGTTCCACGGTTTGAGTCCTGGACCTGGAGGCTTGAAAACACTCCAGGTGCATTTGCACGCATGTCCAAAATCCCGAGAAGAGAATGGAGGAGAGGGAATTGTGGCATAGCCTAACCCCTGGGGGGTGATTTCTCGCTTGCTTTCTCTCTCTGTCTCTGTCTCTCTCTGGAATACATGCACCCAATGGTAAAAAAAAAAAAATCTTAAAAAACGAAACACTTAAATGATGATCCTAGAATATGTTGGCCACATCATTGTACATTAATCAAAATGATGTCTCCCCATTTAGAAAAAAATATTCTGAAATATGATAAATTATATATTTTTAAACAGAATGATTTTTATTTAACTTTATTTATTGATTTTAATTTGATCAGAAAGGCACAGAGTGAGAGAGAGAGGAGAGAGAGGGAAAGTGAGAAAGCAAGCCACCAGGTTTGGGACTCGAACCACAGTCGGCCATGTGGGAATGTCCAGAGCCCTTAACCATCATGCCACCTGCTGGCCCCAATAAATTATAGATTTGTTTTAAAAATATAATTATTTATTTATCTAATTGTATTTGTCATTATTATTTATTTTTAAAATTCTGACTAGAGAGAGACAAAAAGAGAGAGAGGGAAATTAAGTAAGTAAGTTGCCAGATCCGGGACTCAAACTGCAGCCAACCTTGTGAGAGTCCAGTGCCTTAACCACCATGCCACCTGCTGGCCCTCCTAAAGGATTTGCTCTTAAATTGTCTGTTAGAAGTCATTAGTAGACGTGGCCAGCAGGTGGCGTGGTGGTTAAGGTGCTGGATGCTCCTACATGGCTGAGCACAGTTCAAGTCCTGGACACAGTGGCTTGCTTTCTCACCTTCTCTCTCTCTGTCTGTGTGTGTCTCTCTGGTCAAATTAAAAATAAATGAATCAATAAAGTTAAATAATTTTCTTTTTTTTTTTTTTTTAAAAAGAAGTCATTAGTAGAAAACGTCTGCTCTTGTCTTCTTTCTACCTTTTCTGTAACGTTCATTTTTGTCTGGCTACCTGTGACATCACACGACACTTACCGAACCAATGTTTTTCATTCACATGTTAGAGTTTTGCTTTGCCAGTGATACTTTTTTTTTTAGAGGTCTTTGTGTTAGGGTGCGTGTACTTGCCAGAGTGAGACAGAGAGAGTGAGAGGGAAAGTAAGAAATAACCCCCAGGGGGGATGGCCGTGCCGTAATCCCCTCTCCTCCATTCTCCTCTCAGGATTTAGGGCACGCGTGCACACACGCCCGAGATGAGTTTAAGCCACCAGGTCCGGGACTCAAACCGCGGTCGGCCATGTGGGAGTCCAGCGACATCGCCAGTACACATCTGCTGACCCTGTATTCCATTTTTAAATTTTAATTTTAAATTTTTTTTGTGTGTGTAGGGGCACATGTGCCCATTAGAGACATAGAGAGAGAGAGAGAGACAGTGAGAGGGAAAGCGAGAAATCAACCCCCAGGGGATGGCCACACCACAATCCCTTCTCCTCTCAGGATCTCGGATACAAATGCACACGGGCCTGGCATGGTTTTCAAGCCGCTGGTCTGAGCCTTGAACCGCCCATGTAATGCAATATCCTAAGCATAGAACTAGAGCCACGGTGTGGGGACCAGCAGGTGGTGTGGTGGTTAAGGCGCTGGACACTCCCACATGGCCGACCACAGTTTGAATACCAGACCTGGTGGCTTGTTTTCTCACTTTCCCTCTCTCTCTCTCTCTCTCTGTGTATCTCTCTCTGTCAAATTAAAATAAATGAATGGATAAATAAAAAAATAAATAAGTAATTAAAAAAAAAAGAAATAGAGCCACCGCGTCTGGGACTGTGAGGAAGCCCTGCTCACAGGCGTGTGGGGGAAGCAGGCGTGACTCCGCTCTCTCTCTGCCCCGTACAGTTCAACGCACCCTCTTGGAGAAGTAGAAGACAGCTGGCCACCAGCAGCCGGGCGTGCGTGGCCGGGACCCACCACCTCCCCGAGGCTCCTCCCTGGAGATCGCCCACCGGGCAGGGCGGACATGCAAGCGGCCTCCTCTGCTCCTTCGTCCTTCGTCCCGGGAGGTGCCTTGTCTGCTGCCGTGCAGGGGACACGGAGTTTACTGATGATGGGTTTGACAGCCACATGCAGACTGGGGTCCCATCTCCAAGGCCCTGGGGGGGTCCCCATGTGATGTGAAAGGGTGACCATTACCAGGTCCTGCAAATTCAAAGATCAGCCCCTCCAGAGTCCCCTGGCCTGGAACTCTGGATACATCCTGGGTCGTTTGAACCCATCCCAGATGTCCAGAGCAGCACTGACCATTGTATGGAATGGAGTAAGCCTTAGATTCGTTTTTATACAGTCCTGCATTCGTCCATTGGCATTGTTTTTACCTTTTTTTCAAATGAGACTAATAAAAAGAAATTAGAAACCAAGTACTTCTTACTTACATGTGTTTCCGTCGGGTGGTTCTTTTGAGAGATTTTTGCTATAGAGCATGTGCACTCTCCAGAGACAGAGAGAGACAGAAAGCAAAAAAAAAAAAAAAAATCAGCCCTCATGGGGATGCCCACTCCTCAATCCCTTCTCTTCCATTCTCCTCCCAGGATCTTGGGCACGCACGCACACGTGCCTGATGTGAATTTAAGCCACCGGGACCGGGACTCGAACTGCAGTTGACTACATGGCAGTCCAGTGACGTAACCATTATGCCATCAGCTGGTCCCTAGATTTTTTTTATTTCCTACAGGCCATGTGCACTCACTATGAGACACAGAGATATATATATAGAGAGAGAGACAGAGAGAGAAAGTGAGAAATTGCCCCCCAAGGGGGATGGCCACACCACAATCCCTTCTCTTCTATCCACTTGGGATTTTGGACATGCATACACATGCGCCCTGTATGAATTCAAGCCGCTGGGTCCAGGACTTGAACCGTGAAGCCGGCCATGTGAGGTCCAACTGGCTTAACCCCCGCGGCACCTGCTGGCCCTACCATAGGGTGAATTTTAAAGCAGGTTCTGGAAACAGGTGGGATGGATTTTCAGTTGCCTTCCCTGGGGAGCTCTGGCACAGGTTTCCCACCCATGTTCTCAGTCTTCGTTTTCTTCCTGCGTCTCTCGGCTCTCACCCGCCTTCCCATGAACGTGCATGCCATCGATCTGGAGACGCTTTTGCCTCCAGGCCCTCCCCTCGGTCTAGCCATCCCCTGTTCCCAGACTCTCTCCTCCATGGCGATAATCCCTTGGGATCAGCAGTTGGCATAATGGCTATGTTGCTGGACTCCCATGTAGTCAACCATGGTTCAAGTCCTGGACCCGGTGGCTTAAACTCATGCTGGGCGTGTGTGTGTGCGTGCCCAAGATCCCGAGAGGAGAATGGAGGAGAAGGGATTGCGGCATGGCCATCCACCCTGGGGGGTGATTTCTCGCTTTCTGTCTCTCTGTCTCTCTCTTTCTGGTGAGCGCACACGCCCTATAGCAAAAACTTCTCCAAAAAAACCCCACAAAAGATATCCCTTGTGGAAAGTTTTTTGTTTTTTTTTTTTTCTTTCTGTTTTTGTGTTTGGAGAGATTTTTGGTATAGGGTGTGTGCACTTGCCAGAGAGACACAAAGTGAGAAATCACCCTCCAATGGGTCTGACCATACTGCACAACCTTCTCCACTCTCCTCCTGGGGTCTTGGGCACACATGCTCACAGAGACAGTGTGATTTTCAAGCCACCGGTCCGGGACTCGAACTGCAGTCGCCCATGTGGGAGTCCACTGATGTAACCACTACTCCATCTGCTGACCCAGTACATAACATTTTCTACATGCAGAAAGGTTCACGATTAATTTCTTCGTTCAGGTCTGATGGGCATTAATCTCTTCTCTGAAAGGGCTTTGGAAACTCTTATAACCAGGATTTAGAAACTCTTTGTCTCATGCCTTATTTCATGGACCACAAGAGTTCAAAGCTCTTTACAAATGCTAGCTCTTTTATTTTTCATTAAAAAGACTTTTTAAAGAACTATTTATTTAATTGTATTTATCATTATTTTAAAAAAATGATTATTTATTTAATTTTATTTATTCATTCATTTATTTTAATTTGACCAGAGAGAGACCGAGAGAGAGAGAGAGAAGGAAAGAGAGAAGGGAACCTGCCAGGCCTGGGATTCCAACCGTGGTCGGCCATGTGGGAGTGTCCAGCATCTTAACCACCACGCCACCTGCTGGTCCCCTGTATTTATCATTATTACTATAATTATTTTAAATGTATTGCAGGACACATGAGCTCACCAGAGAGAGACACAGAGAGAGAGAGGGAAAGTGAGAAAGACTTTATGTTTTCTATGAGAGAGAGAGAAAGAGAGAGGGGCTCCCCTGTGCCGTACAATGATCTGCCCCAGGGCTCAGCCAGCTTGGGGCACAGACTCCTTTTTGATCTGTCCGGGGAAACTTCAGGACGCCAACTGCTGGTTTCCTTCTGACGTCAGCATCACAGAGCTTGTCTTCGGGTTTCCCCAGCACGTCTGACCCGCAGAGGCGAGCTCTCCAGGACTCCCCGCCTCTTAGTGAGGGACGGCTTGAGACGGTTCACCAGTGAGGGCACACGGATAGATTAGACAGTGGGTGGGGCCGGCAGGTGGCGTGGTGGGTGAGGTGCTGGACTCCCATGTGGCTGACCAGGGTTCATGTCTCGGACATGACAGCTTGCTTTCTCACTTTCTGTGGTCAAATTTTAAAATAATAAAAATAAATAAAATTAAGTAAATAATTCTCTCTCTCTCTTTTAGAGAGAGAGAGAGTTTTGCTATAGTGCACGTGTGCTAGCCAGAGACAGAGAGATAGAAAGTGAGAAATCACCCCCCAGAAGGGATGACCACACCACAATCCCTTCTTCCTCCGTTCTCCTCTCGGAATTTTGGGCATGCACGCACACACACACACATACACTCAGTGTGATTTTCAAGCCCCAGGGTCTGGGACTCCAACCATGGTTGGCTATGTGGGATTCCAGCAATGTAACTAGTATGCTATCTGCTGTTACTTAAGTAATTCTTAAAAAAAAAAACAATCAATGCAGTCCCACATCTGCGGGGGAAAGCGAAGTCACCACCATGAACACAGGGCTCGCGTTCACACTCCGACACCAGGCCGTGTTCTCCTCCTCCAGGGAGATTGCAAAAGAAAGACACGGATTTCCACGGTTCCATCAAACGCCCCGGACTTCAGTGAGGTGTGCTCTTCCTGTCCCCTCTGCCCTCCTCTTTGTTTTTTTCTTGTAGAGAGAAATGACCATGAGACGGCGGAGGACACCCATTTGCAAAGTCGGACATGGAAGCCGTTCTCGGGCGTTTCCTTTCCTCATTGCAGACCGACTCTTCCAGGGCGGGCGGTGAATGGGTTCTCATTACCCTGCAGACGCTCACCGGGAACCCTCCCCGGGATGAGTGCTAGGGAGTACACTGTTCCTCTCTTCTGGGAGCTGGGCATCTCCTTCGAATTTCTCATCGTTCTTCACCTTTGGGAGGCTCCTGAAAGGTTGCTTTTTGTATTACTAGAATTGCTTTTAAAGAGAATTCTTGCATTTTTCATGCAGGTCCATACGTGAGGAAGAACTGACAGGCACTTCAGAAAAAAAAAAAAAAAAAAACCATTTCTAACGGGTATAGTCACTTGCCATAAAGACAGAGAGAGACAGAGAGACAGAAAGTGAGAAATCACCCCCCCATGGGGGATGGCCACGCCGCAATCCCTTCTCCTCCATTCTCCTCTCGGGATATTGAACATGCACGCACACATGTCTGGCGTGTTTTATATTGCTGGGTGTGGGACTTGAACCACGGTCAACTACGTGGGAGTCCAGCAATATAACCATTACACAGTCTGCTGGTTCCCCTCCCCCACTGTTAAAAAATTATTAATCTCTAACCCTATTTAGAAGCATATGTCTTTTTGTTTTCTTCAGAGTGTTTTCAGCATAAGGTGCATGCACTGGCTGGAGAGAGACAGAGACAGTGAACAGGGAAGTGAGAAATCACCCCCACAGTGGAGTGGCCGTGTCGCAATCTCTCCTCTGCTCCTGGGATCTTGGGCATGCTCGCACACCTGCCCAGAAGGACTTGCAAGTCGCTTGGTCCGGGATTCAACCATGTGGGAGCCCAGTGACCTAACCACCATGCCCTCTGCTGACCCCTAAAGCATACACCTTTTGTTCTACTCCAAAAAAACCCACAATTTGGAAAAGGTCTGCATGTAATCGTACAGCGTGATGCATTGTGTCTCTCCTGACAGGGACTGGACCTGTTATTTGGGGGCTGCTTGCCATGCTAGAAGGAAAAGGATTTCACTTATTGGCATCACTTTTCCGTGTCAGAGAAAGGAAGGTGTGCTAGTGTCTGGTCGCTGCTGTAACAAATGACCACAAACCAGGGCTTACGACACGACAGGAATTCATTCTGTCCCAGTCCTGAAGCCCAGACGTCTGAGGGCCAGGTGGGCAAGGCCATGCTCCCTCCAGAGGCCCCAGGGGAGGCTCCTTCCTCCTCTCCCAGCTCCCGGGGGAGGTTCCTTCCTCCTCTCCCAGCTCCCGGGGGAGG